GATATACTAGACAAAAACGCAACTCATCATATTGGAATGACGGTTGATGGAGCAGTAAACTCAAAAAATGGGGCTTCCGTCCACAAGTTATCCAAAGCAGTACATTTCAATGTTTTTTAGTGCTATGCATATCATGCATTGCGCCTACCAACTTGGAACAACCAGTATCCGCCAGGCAGACTCGGACCACAGGGAAACCAAAGCCAATTTCAGCGTCATCACTTTTCGTCCATGTAAAGGTGGGCATCAAGGGAACAGAGGAGTTGTCAGCGGATCGGCCCATCAGACTGCATGGTGGTGATACCTTCTACACTGGTAACGAAATGTTCTCAAGGTGATTGTCAAGCTCGGCGAACAACCAGCTAATAGGTTTCCAAACACCAAATGCTTCCCAAGCCCGCTTCCTCACGACACCAGCAGGATTACGTGAAACTATTAAGTCAGTTGAATGATCCTCTTTTTTCGGTTATTTATCGCGACCGATGGCTCTTTGATCTGATAAATATCTGATTGAACGACAGCGGACATCAGGGCGTGGTAACCGTGTCTCGCTAAACTCAAAGAATGGGTGGCCTGACCGGGATTGCAGTGCGACGCATTTCATTACTGAATGCGACAAGGTACAGCACAGTAGCTGGAAAGCACCTTATATTATCCGAATCGAGTGATTGTCTGGGTGTCCAGTCTACACGGGTCAGAAAATCCCGAGGAACGCGAGTGTGCCAGGTGATTCGCTTTCTGAAGCATTTCGAACATGTCTGAATTGAAGATTCACAAGCTTTGTAGCTCATCTGTACGCATCAAAGTTTGTCACCAAATCCTACTGGTGTTCCCAGCGCTCAACTGAGTGACAAAAGCGAGTTTGAACAGGGTGACCAAACATGTTGGTGATCAGCTCCCTCAAGAGTTTGTACTGAAATCTTCTGTGGAAAACAGAAGTGCCAAACGAAAACAGCCCGAATTCAGGCCTCAGGTCGAGGTGCGTCGATCGAAGTATGGGGATCTTTTGTTGATTTTCCTCGTGACCATCTTCTACTAGAAAGTCACAAATTCAAAAGTTGCTGAAGTGATTAGTAAAACTCTGTTGCATTCCTACTCGCGATTCAAAAGTTGGAAGCACTGACCCACGTCAAATACGTCAACTGCCACACGCGGACTTTCTAGTGTGTACACTGAATCCCGTTTTGCTCAGTGTGTTGATGGGAGACTCATCAATACCAGACTTGGCATTTTCCTAACGTAACGAGAAAGGAGAAATCCTGTGCTGTTCACATGACCCACAGAATGTCCATAATCCAGTCCAATCGATCGTGGTTGAACAGGCAATGATGTAGCTGCGGAAAAATTAGTCCCTGAGAGGCGATTCAAATTCATGAGCTGACCCAGAAAATGTACAGAGATGCAAGTGGACGCCCCACAATCTACCCCTCAACATTACATTAAAGTTTTCGGCACAAATCCCTTTTCCTTTTCGACACGGATGTTCCACGTAGGATCAGTTTTCACAAGGTTGAAAGTCAGTTCGAACAATGGTCTGAATGCGTTTCCTATCCATCCCTTGTCGTACCGCGTTGCTTACGTTATCATTCGTCAGGATGTCCTTTAGTAATGTGGTACCAACTCGTGTGGTTTAACAGTGGGGATCACGGGACAGCAACGTGGTTAGTGAAAGGAAGGACAGCATACTGTGCCCATACACTGAGTATCCAATCTGATTGATAACACAAGCATACGCCAAACACAGCTCAGTCCACTGACCACGGCGGGACTGTGGTAACTCTGTTAAGATGAAGACAAGATTGAAGCGGGCGAACCGATTGAAGGAAAATCTATGCGACAGGAGAAAATATACAGTGAAAAAAGTCGAAAAAGATCATACTCTTCCTCCAAATATCGTGTCGTTTCCTTCTGATTCATCTAGCCTACAACTCTACGGCATCTACAAAAGCTCCCGATACCCTAGTCTGATGAATAGTGTGCCATCATCGAATTCGACCCACAATAAGTTAGACGCATCAGTTGCAAAAAAATCAATCGATTTGTACTCACAGCACAGTTCCCAACCTGTCAGTAATCCAAACAGTTTCATATTTCATCTGGAGTCGCCCTGGAGATTGGCGTTACCATTCATCATACGACATGATGCAGGTAGGTTAATGGTTACAGAAAAGTCGAAAAAAGTGACGATCACAGAAGGAAGCTTCTGGACCTCCCATATACAAGCCCTAATCTGCGTTGTAGCTGCATGAAGACAAACCAGGTGAGGACGTCACATCGCGTCGGACAACTTTTCCTCTCAGACGGTAAAATAAATTACGTACCGATAAGCAGGACCACTCATAGATACACGGTAGGAAGCAGGACACTTTGCACGGCTGAAAAGTGAAAGGCCGAACTCCATAATCTCCTCGATGAGAATCCACATGATTTCCATATATGGAAATCATGTACTTCAAGGTACGTTGTAGAATAGGAATTCATAAACACCCATCGTGATCCTCTCTCGGGTAGGCAAATGAAACCAGTCGCGGTTCCGTGGGTGGGCAGTGACTTGGAGTTCGTGGAATGGTCGAACACTGGTAGACCAAACTGATCATCATCATCATCATCAAAGACAGCAACATCAGTGTTGGCATTGATGCTTCACTGCCGTACAACCATAAGGTTCGTCTAGTTATATATATATATATATATATAATT